AATAATAATAATAATAATGATTATAATAATAATAATAATTATTATTATTATTATTATAATGCCCTCGTTCATGGTAGTAGACTTTGACACCACTTTTAGCAAAGGTGAAATGTCGATTAAAAAAGAATGATCTCTAAAAATTCCAAAAAAAAGTACTTAACCTATAGTTGGAGGAAACTTCTCTGCGTACACCAAGTTATAGATCGGGTCACCAAACTCAGGAGACTGAAAACACATCGTTATTAATTGATATTTTGGGCATTATATGGAACACATCAAATCCATGTTTACTGTTAAAATATGTCTCTGATAGTCACAATTTTTTTTTTTGTATGAAAATAAAGTCAACAGAAATTCACCCTTGTTTTCTCGTCAATTATTTAATTTTATGAAATCCGCAAACTTTGCCCCCCAAAAAACTGGTTATTTGGGCAAATGTATAAATGAAAGGAAGATATTGAAAGTTCTGGTTCTCAGGCACATTGTTGACCATTAAGATTGACTTCACTGTGCTTCTAATTAATAAATTTAAAAGTAAGGAAAAAGTTTAAAAAGTGTAGAATTGTGTCGATTTTCTTCGTTCTGTATTATTCCGCAAGAATGGAGACACCACAGTTATAAAACAAAAGGATTTGAGTCTTTGCAATAAACTCAAATTTTCCAATTCCAATATCTATCTAACCTGATGGTGTACATCTTAAATATTTCAAACTTATATTTTGAGCTGTAGCAGAATTTATAGTTTGAAATATCAAAGGTCTACAGCATTTGGTTGCAAAGATATATAAATTAGAAAATCAGAGTTTGTGGCCATGACTCAATTCCTTTCAGAGTAATGTTTAAAGGTTACTGTTGTGAATAATGTTTAAAGGGTACTGTTGTGAATAATGTTTATAGGTTACTGTTGTGAATAATGTTTAAAGGCTACTGTTGTGAATAATGTTTAAAGGGTACTGTTGTGAATAATGTTTAAAGGGTACTGTTGTGAATAATGTTCAAAGGGTACTGTTGTGAATAATGTTCATATATATATATGTGTTATGACGTATTTCATTCATAATTCTATCTTAATGAAAACCAAGATATGTAGACTTTATACCTTGATGAAAACAATACTTTTAAACAAAAAAGTCACTACTATTGTGCTGACAATTGATAAAAGTTTAAAACAGTTAATGTGAAGTACATGTTTAGTTTAAAACTACGAAAAAATCAGGTCAATTGATTAATTGCTTTCTATAATCAGATTTTCATACTTACAATCGACGACAGCATCCTTCAGTTGTCCGGCAGTATCGACTATTTCCCTCCTGGCAGACCGGTCTGGTACAATGAACCGGAAAGGAGGAAAATCTGCAATCCCATTTTCATGAAACTCCTCAGGCTTAAATGTACTGTACTGTCTGATAAGAGAAATGTTTTAAATAAGTTTCAAATTTCAGCACTGCTCGAAAGGGATAGTCGTCGTAATTTTAAGTATTTTTAATAAAAAATGTATGCCTTTTTCCCACTGCTATTCTTGACGCTTTAATCTGACCAATAGTGTGGAAGATAACGTCGTTTTTTTGTCCTGAAAAATGTTTAATAATGATAATTTCTCCAATACGTCTGTAGCAAAAGATGCGCAAGTCACGTTAGGAGTGAAATAACAGATAAAAATGAGTGGTTTAAATACCTGGAAATCTAATTTTTATTTATCAGATAAAACTTTCAGAATCGGGCAAACCATTTTCTATTAATGAACAGTCACATGAAAATTAAGTTTCTTCTCCATTTAAGAATAATAAAAAAGCATATTTAAAGAACATTTTTCCTTGTTTGTGGGGCCAGCTGTACACTAGTAGTTTGATAAGGCCGCTGTACAAACTTATTATCTTGCTGTACTTCAAAGGGCTGTACAGACACGACGTTATCGCTTGAATTTTCCTTTTTTATATTTTCTTGCTGTACATTAAATATTGATTTTTTGTCGTACATGTACGGGGTTTGTAGAGTATAGGGGAGGTAAGGACGATTGTCCTGTTGTGCTTCATGTACAGCATGTACAGCATGTACTGCAGGTTTTCTGTCAGCAACCGAAATATCCAAATTTCTCTCTGGATTGTTTTTTCGAGATTTGTACTGCGCATTTTGTTGTTGTTCTGTCGTTGACTCTTGATTGTATTTTACAATTATATCCTGGTTTCCGTCCTTCACCTTTTCTTGTTTATCCTTCAGCAGAATAATATCAGTGAATCCATCTAAAAAAAGAAATTATTATAATAAAAATTATTTTTCTTTAGAAAAACTACGGTTTCATTTTTATTAATATTTGTCCGAGTGTCAAATATTAATGTTGCATTCACACAGGTCTGCTGTTTCGGTAATTATAAATTGGCGGTGCAGTCCAAAATAGGCCTGCCAAGGTTGGCCAATTTCGGATGTTCAAATGTACACCAGTTGTGCGTGATTTTGATAGGATATTTTTTTATTTATATTTCTTTGTGATTTAAACTTTCTAAAATATATAATAAAGCACTTTGCTCATATATATACATATTTATTTATATGTTCGCTATGGCTAGCCAAACGGCTAGACCAAAAATGGTGAATTTTTGAGAGAAAACAAACTTCAAAATTTGATTTTTTAAAGCCTTTAAAAATTAATTAAACAATCTCACTTGAACCACACAATTATGCCTTTCTGTAAATGAAGAGCTAGTCCATCTTGAAAATGCATTATAATAATAATAATAATAATAATAATAATAATAATAATAATAATAATAATGATAATAATAATAATAATAATAATAATAATAATAATAATAATAATAATAATAATAATAATAATAATAATAATAATAATAATAATAATAATAATAATAATAATAATAATAATAATAATAATAATAATAATAATAATAATAATAATAATAATAATAATAATAATAATAATAATAATAATAATAATAATAATAATAATAATAATAATAATAATAATAATAATAATAATAATAATAATAATAATAATAATAATAATAATAATAATAATAATAATAATAATAATAATAATAATAATAATAATAATAATAATAATAATAATAATAATAATAATAATAATAATAATAATAATAATAATAATAATAATAATAATAATAATAATAATAATAATAATAATAATAATAATAATAATAATAATAATAATAATAATAATAATAATAATAATAATAATAATAATNAAAACGACCGGTTCCAACTGAAGTGTTCCTTATATAATTTACAAATTAATGTAAATGCGGACTGATTGTCGTCTCCGTTTTCTTTTCATTAGAAATGCAACAAAACTATTAAAACTAATATATAAAAAAAGCTTCACAAATATTAGAATCCTTGAAACGAAAAAAGAGCGATTCGGCTAAAATGAATCATTCCATCCTAAACTAAATTCATGTGACATTAAACTGCCTGCTGGCAGAACTTTGTGACCTCGTAGCTCCTGCAGTAGGAAAAGTGAGAATTTAGCAACTACTTGTTTAGTTACTAGAAATGTAAAACCTTATTTTAATTCACAATATTTCTACAAAAAGTTCGGTAATGATTGAAAATAAAAAGTTTTGAAGAAAGAAAAGACAATAGGCTTTTATAAAAAAAAACTATAAACAGCTGATTTTACTGGCTTGAAAATTTCGCCTAATTCTGGAAATTTTAATAACTGAAGCAAAAAACACGCAAGTCACTTCTATAGAGAACACACAAATTGAAAATAAACAATAAACAAATAAATTGATATCTTTCTCTTTCTTGTTCAGAAAAAGCTTTTAATCGGACATGTGACACTTTCAATGGAAGGTTACTTGAAATTATAGTTTACAGTCTATTGCTATTGAGAAGCTATTCTGAAAATAGGAATAATAAAAAATACCAAAAATAGAATCAAAAACATCAAGATGCAAAGCACATTTTTATTTTCTTCTGAGTGCCTCGAAATCTCAGGGGGGGCGAATGTCCCCCCGCCCCCCCCCCCCCTGTATCCGCCCCTGAGGGAAGGTTTATGAATGATCAAAAGTCTAAAAATTTATTTTGTTAAAATTTTGAAAATGCGCGAAAAAATATTATGAAATCCGCAAACTTTTTTGGTTGTTTTTGTTTTATACTCTGTACAAAGAGAAGATGCTCAAAGATAAAGCCACAGTTAAAAGTTGAAATTGAAGATGGGCGGGGCCTAATAAAGTAAATTGCACGAAACTAACTCCTCTTACTGAAGAGCTAGATTGAGCAGAACAAAAATGTTTTGAATCTCTATCATTGAATTTGTTGAATAAATTTGCTTTTCTCAAATTTTTGCGTAAAATCTAAACTAAGGAGCTACGAGGTCCCAAACCCATCCCAGTAATGTTGCATAAATTTTAAATTTCACTGATATCATAATCACAAAATGCCAAAACAAATGATTTTTCTCCGGCGCATGATAGATTGTTATTCTAAAAACTTCAGATACTAAATAAAAAAAACAATATACCAATTTACATTTTAATTGTTACATTACAAGAAGCCTAAATTTTTGTTCTCAATACCGAACTTGCCGAAAGCATTACGGAATTACTCGCATTAAAAAAATTTAGAAAAAAATATTTGGGATATTTAAAATTGTGTGAGATATCTTTATCATTCTTTGCATAATGTTAAAATGTTGAGATTTATTAAAGTTTATTCATCTTTATATATCTTTCATCTATTTATATATTTTTCTTTTCTTTTTGTCTGTGGATACGTTTGTATCTAATAAACGTCAAAACGGCCGAACCGATTGGGCCAAAATTTTGTGTTGGACCCACGTTACCACGGGGAAGGTTTTTAAAATCCGCGAATTTGTTATTGTGTTACAATGTAAAAAAAGAGAAAATGTTCACAATTAAACTAGAAGATGGGCGCAAAGCGCCCTGAATGCCTGGTTATAAACATTAAAAGATCTCTGTGGAAATGAAATATATCTCAAGTGCCCTGTTTTTATTAAAGTAATCCGGCACCTTTTAATTAGTTCTTAGTTTTATATTACCCAATTGTGTAAACAATATCCCAAATTTGTTGTGTGAAAATAGACTTGCCAAGTGATACTCTTAAATTAAAGGGACAGTAAAGGAAAAATGAAAGGGGGTATAGGCTGAAAGCTAATCACTTTAGCTCTTGATCGCGACCCATGAAAGTCATATCTGATGTTCCTGTCTCGAGAAATTTAAATAAAATTGTGTCAAATTTATACGAAAATTAATATATATACAATTTTGAATAAAAGTAGTAGGTTTAAACAGACCATATTCAGCAAATAAGCAACCAATCTGAAAACGATGATATCCCAGAGAAAGCTAATTGTAAATTAGGTTTACTTTTATATTTGTTATTTCTATTTTCAATAGATTTCATTCATAATATTATTTTTACGTCCGTATTACTTGCCCAGAAATTCCACCAATGGCAGTGCAGTAAAGTGGTCACGTGATACAGGCTGAGACACGTGACCAGTTTACTGCTCTGCCATTGGTGATAGTTCTGGTCACGTGATTTAAGTTTCAGATTTTCAAAATTTTACATATATGAATTTTCGTATAATTTTATCACAGTTTTATATCAATTTCTCGAGACAGGAACATCAGATATGACTTTTATGGGTCGCGATCAAGAGCTAAAGTGATTAGCTTTCAGCCTATACCCCCTTTCATTTTTCCTTTACTGTCCCTTTAAGGTTTTAGTACAAATTGTTTACATAAAAGAAACTAACTAATTTTTTTTTAATTGTTTTTAAATTTATTTTGATGTTTGAAGAAAAAAAGTCGATTTAAAAAAATTAAATTTGTTTAGCCTATGTTATGTTACCCCAGGGTTTCCTAAAAAATCAGCCCATTTAGTCCAGCCGTTTGGCCAGGTCTAGCTAACATAAGTATATATATATATATTTATATGAACAAAGATTTACTACCGAAGACTGCTGGCAAAGCATGAAGCATAATGTATAGTTACTTTTGTTGTCAAATAAAAATGTGAAGTTGAAAATGGAAATTTATATAAATATGAGCAAAGAGCTTTATTATGTAGATATTCAATGACAATTACTGTGTTCCTGTTTGTATAAAAACTATCGTTATTTTGGTTTGTTTTCCCTCATATTGTCTCTTAGGACAAAAATGCGCAAAGTTTAAAAAAGCAAAAGTATTTGTGTGGCGCCTTTTAAAAGTCAAACAATCTGAAGAACGCACCAAGCCGCATGAGCCGTCCTTTTACATGAAAAAAATATTTGAATAGATATTTGAAAATTTAAGTTCTGATAAAATAAACTGCACTAATCTCAGAACTGGGGTTGAAGGGTTAAGAATTTTGTGGTCCGCAATTTTTTCATCCATCTTAAACAATATCCTACATACGCCCATCTTCCTTTTAATCCACATTTCTTTTATTCGTACCATTACGATAAATTATAATTAAGCTCTTAGTGGGTTAAATACTTGTATCAGACATTTTTTAAAGATTATTGTGTTATGTTACAACTTATAAGATGTTAAAGATCCTCTTCTGTATGGCATTATTTGCACAGGATGATGAAAAAGAATTGTTATTTTAAAGATTATTGTGTTATGTTACAACTTATTAGATGTTAAAGATCCTCTTCTGCAGGGCATTATTTGCACAGGATGATGAAAAAGAATTGTTATTTTAAAGGGACTGGCATGGAGTTTGAAGTGATTTTTAATTTTAAAAAGGGGGCATGTTTGATTCACAACTGTATCCTTATAACCTAAATATCTAGTCAATATAAACGTGGACAATATTGTCGTTTTCTAACTTGAAAAGTTTTTAACTCATACATCCTTTATCATATACAGCTTTTATGGGTGTTGTGAATCCGACATGTCCCTCTTTTTAAAATGGAGGATCATTTAAAATCCCACCGACACAGCCCTTGTAAAACACTATGGGGGGGGGAATAAAAAGTGACGGTTTAATGCAAGATGTTTGAAAACAAAATATTCCGATTAAAGAAAAAAATTCTTCACTATCTATCTATTCACATATCTTTCTATATATATATATATATATTTACATATCTATCTATCTACCCTTGAGGTATAAAGTGTCTGCATGAACTGTTGACCTTGAGCCATGCTTGGTTGCGTCACTGTTTACTTTCTCTCAGGTCTTCTATCGTTGAAATCTCCGAATGTGTGCGGCCATTTGTTAAGGTGAAAAATCCTCGAAATATTTACGGACAGTCAGGTTGAGGTTGGGAGATTTAAGGGGACCCAAAATAGTGGAAGAAGGGGAAGAAAGGGGTTGTGAAGGGGGCCGGGGGGAGGGGAAGGTCGAATCAGCTGATTTTAAAAGAAAGGAAAGAAAGAGTGTTCAGTATTGAACAGAGCGCGGATGGGATGCGTCACTGTAGTTCCGGGTGTGCATGCATACGCATTTGTCTGCGTACTTATCAAGTTATTTCAAGATTTCACTAGTTTAATTTTGAACCAAGTGATTTGAGTTGTTAATGTTAGTGTTTATGCATTTTAGATTAGTGTTTAACAAGTGACATGAACGAGAGGGGGGGCTAGATATACCTTGAAAAAGTTTTAGATTGGGGAGGGAAGTGATATGTACTTGCACGTAGTTTTTTCCCTATCTAGGGTTAGGTTTTTTTTTAACTTAATTTCAAATTTATATATAGAATGATAATGTAAGGTTCTATATGTACTTTAAATGTACTAGCAGTATTTTTTTACCCGAAAACCTAAAAAGTATCTTGAGTCTAAAAAATTTATTTTCAACTTATGGTTTATTTTAGAAAGTTATTTTACATTCTATTTTTAAGAGTTTTTAGATTTCTTTATCATATCACTTTGAGTTTTATCGTTCAATATACTTTCTTTTTTTGAGATATTGTTGATCTTTTTACATTTTACTAAAGAAATTGAATTTTTAATTATAATAGTTATAAGTTTCCCTTTTTTTCTTCTATTTTTCACTTTTCTTTTTTAAATTTTTTTTTGTCCCAGATATTGTGTTCCCTTCCCTTCCCCCCAGGACTGTAAGTAAATACTTACATTAAGGCCCCGCAATGTAAAGTTTTACAAACAACATCGATAAAAAAGTATGAAAATCCAATTTTTATTTTCTCACCGCCGCGCGGCAAGGAAATCTGCCAAAATGTTACTAAAAAATGTACACCTTTACGATGGTTGTCATTCTTCAATTCAAAGAGTAATTCAATTAAAACAAAATCTTACTCGTGCGTTTTGTTTAAATCTCAATAAAATCTATACATTTCAATCGAACGATGACATCGATCGTCCTTGGTTTAAAAAATAGTGAATACACACTTTCCATGATTTAAAAAATGGTTTTGAAGAATAACAATGAACTTTTCAAGGCGAAGGTCATGAGAACTACAGAACTCACCCATTTATTTTAATTTATAAAAGAAATTCAAGGATCTGTTTTATGAATACAGCCCAGGAGAATAGGTTAGCAAAACTCCACATAATTGATCACACCATGGCCTTCTTTCTTTTCGTACTCAAGGGAACTGATTACTCGCAAAATACTCTAATTATGTACTCTTTTATCTTTACAGCTTAACCTCATGCTACACTATGGTTAAATATATAAAAATATGCTTTTCACGCCCGCCATCTATTTCAACTTTTAATTGCGGATCTGTGAGCATTTCTCTTTGTTCAATACAGAATAATAACAAGCAAAAAAGTTCGCGAATTTAATACTATTTTTCGCCCATTTTCAAAATTTTACAACAATCTAAAATATTTGGACACAAATTTTATAATTGTTCAGCAGCCATAAACCTTCCCTGGGGTCATGTAAGGTCCCACACAAAATCTGTTCCCGATCGGTTCAGCCGGTTTGACGTTTATTGGATACAAACGCACGGACACCCTGACAGACAGACAAGCAAAGTATGCATATAGATTAAACACTTTTTTCTTGATAGAGAGGTTATAATTAAATCATGTTTAGATTTACAGAATTTTCTTATTTTTGACATGAGTGTGGGGCCGGGGAGGATATTTGGGTGGGGTTTTTAAACCCAGTGAAAACTCCTACAATGCATTGGTCTCTGCTTACTGGAGTGTATCTCCTTGTTTTTATTCAGTTTATGTAACATTGTCAATAGAGTTCATATTGAACTTTCGAACCCAAATTGTTGTTGATGCACAGTTGTTTACAGTGGGATGCATAAAACTGTAAAGTAGAAGACGACGTTTGTGTATTTGATGTTGTTATAAGCAAATTCCAATCATTATGTATTTGATGTTGTTATAAGTAAATACCAATATTGTGTATTTGATGTTGGTATAAGCAAATAGCAATCATTGTGTATTTGATGTTGTTATAAGTAAATACCAATATTGTGTATTTGATGTTGTTATAAGTAAATAGCAATATTGTGTATTTGATGTTGTTATAAGCAAATAGCAATCATTGTGTATTTGTTGTTGTTATAAGTAAATAGCAATATTGTGTATTTGATGTTGTTATAAGCAAATAGCAATCATTGTGTATTTGATGTTGTTATAATCAAATACCAATCATTGTGTATTTGATGTTGTTATAAGTAAATAGCAATCATTGTGTATTTGATGTTGTTATAAGTAAATACCAATCATTGTGTATTTGATGTTGATATGAGCAAATATCAATATTGTGTATTTGATGTTGTTATAAGCAAATAGTTTTACCAGATGCTACAAAATTAACTTATCAATTAAAAAATTGATGTGTGTAGAGTGTAAATTTTTGTGTTTCATGTTCAATTATTTAACATCATAACTTGAGTCTAACAGTCGTCTTCTTTTTCAACATTTATATTATGTCTTTGCAAAAGTTGCTGAAAGTTAATTCGATACAGGTTAAATAGAATGGAAATATATTTAAATCTTTTTCTAGCATCACTTAAACCCCTCCTTGCTTATTTTCTAAAAAACAAAAAATCAATTTTAAGAAAAAAAGAAGTATGTGGACATAATTGAAGTTTTGCTGCTTTTTCAAGGATTTGAATTTGATCGATGTATAAATCTTTAAACTAGGAAGAACCCGTATCGCTAGTAGCTACTTATAATATTATAAAGATTTTTAAATAAAAATGTTTTCAATATTCTTTAAATACTGTTTCACAATAAGAATTTTTTTAAAAATTATTTTTCAAAATATGAAATTCAAAGGATATAATTTATAGATATAACTTTTTACAATGAGCTAGTTTTTAAAACTAGAAAGAAACAATTTTGAAATGTTTAAATAAATGATACAACAACCGTAAAATATTTTTTTTTGAACTTTGGAGTTATGTATTTTCTACCCTCTTCTGTGAGGTCAAAAATTTATTAAAATATATCTTTTTCCAGGAGCAATTAGTTTTTTTATTAAGTTTCATGTAAAAAAATATATTCAATCAATGACAATAGAAGGATTTGTACCAAAAAAAAGATATTGGCACAAACGCAAAAATGTTATTTTATGAAACTATTATGTACTTTATCATTCTTCCTCACTTCATTGTGAATTTCATAATGAACGTGCTATAAAGCTCTGCATTATAGCACTTGTGCTAAAAAGTTTTGATTGTTTCACGGATTTTCTCCAACAAATTTAGGATATTTCCAAAAAAAAAATTCAAATGAAATGAAAATAAAATTTATATCAACTTTATATTTTGACTTCTGCTCTTTTTCAAAGCTTATTTGATCTAGAAATTGACATTGAAATAAGACAATTACACAAACGTTTCATAAAATTATCTATTAAACTATTATTATGGCACGACGTGCTATAAAGTTTTTGGACAGAAATTTTCTCTTTATCCAGAAGGTTCGAGTCTTTTTAGATTAAATTTTTTCCCGAGCTTTAGCGAGACACTAAATATAATCTAAAAAGAACCAAATTAACAGTGTTATAAATAGTTATCATCATTATTATATTATTTTGCGATTAAATATTATGCATCCTTTTGTAAATTTTTCAACGGGTTATTTTTTTGGGGCCATTCACAGGTGGTACCTACTTGGCTCTTGTGTAGGGTGCAGTCTGCTGGCTAGGGGCCGGGTTGCAATCTGGAGATTCCATTTCGGGGTTCTTTTCAGATTTTTCTTCTTATCCTTATTCTTATTGTCCATCAGCATAACCTTAGAGTTTTATCTTTCGTCCTTTTTTGTAAAGGTTAAAGGGATTGTAAGCGTAATTTCAAATGACCTTCCATGTAAAGATTGTACAGTGTACAGTGTACACGGTATCCGTAAAAGGTTTGACTGATCAATGTTTTTGTTTTTTAACTGTTTCTTTTCATTTGTGGTTTCTCTGCATAAGTGATTGCGCATTTCTTCTGTATAGAAATAATAGAGAAATTATCAGCGTCAAACACTTCCAGTCAAAAAAACGAAAATGGACATTTTTGATCAGCTTTTTATCAGCTTAAGGTTTGAATGGAACCGTCCTAAATAGGGCATTGGAATCTCGTTAAACGGCATAAATATCATTGGATTATTAAAATCCAGTTTAAAATATTTACATTTTTCCAAAAAATCTAAATTAATTAAATAGGGATATAGGGATATAGGGATATAGAGAGGAAAAAAGAATTATAAACAATTATCTGAATTATTTTTTTAATGGATTGGCCTTTTTAAATTTTTAAAATAACGTTTAATTGTTGATTTAAATTAATTTAGAATTGAAAAAAATGAAAACATGGAGGTTTCTGATTGTCTTTACATTTGCTTCAAACGGTAATAACTATAATGATGATAGTTATAATGATAATAATATTATCAATGATAATAATAATAATAATAATAATAATTAATAATAATAATAATAATAATAATAATAATAATAATAATAGTAATAATAATAATAATAATAATAAAAATAATAATGATAATAATTTATGATGATAATTACAAATTCTGGTTTTATAATATCATTACTAATTTATTATTTTATATGATTTCCAATTTGTATAAATTTTGGTAAGGGTTGCTGTGCGTGCATTTAAAAATGTTTAAAATCAATAGTATTTCTTTGTATTATCTCGTGTTTTGCCAATTACTTCTTGAAAACCAAAGCTAACGGCACCACGTGCTTTAAAATGCTGAAATGAACATGTAAAGGGCTACAGAAAAGCATAAAAGATTTCACATAGAAAAAAGTCTCATAAATTTTTAAGAAAGTGTTGACTTTGAAGTGTCGCAACGCCTTGGTCTTTGTTTTTACCCCTCTAACTATAAATGTATGCTTTTCTGTAGTTCTTTACATGTAAATATTACATGTTGAGACCTTTCAGTCGCAGAGAGTTAGATTGGTAAAATCAAAGCATAAGGCGTTGCGACACTTCAATGTTGACCCTGTCTTAAAAATTGATGAGACTTTTTTTAAGTAGGCTAAATCTATGTGAAATATCCTTTAAATTTGATGACTTCACTCTTACAGAATCTCTTAATGGGACTGATGTTGTAATTTCAAGTGATCCTTCATTCTCCTAATCATATCTGTACACAAGAAGCATTTAGCACTGACATTTTCCTTCAATGTTTCTGCAGGAAAAGGTTATATATATTAGCCACCATTGAAAGTAATCTATTCTGAAGAGAAAAATAAACATATTTAACGCATTCTTGACTAGATAAAGTTCAGAATCGGACATGCCAGTCCAGAAATGGAGCTAGGGCCCCTGGAAGTTATGCAAACAGTCTCTTTAATGACAAATAAAGTTACGTCGACAAATCCTTTATGAGAGTTTATTACATGTGTATTTCAGTTGACGTGAAGGCGGAAACACTAGAGGAGAAAAAAGCAGAATGTTTAATGTGGAGCCATTTAGAGAACAAGACTTTACCCCTTCAGGTGGGTGGATAGATAGATAGATAGATAGATAGATAGATAGATAGATAGATAGATAGATAGATAGATAGATAGATAGATAGATAGATAGATAGATAGATAATAGATAAATAGATAAATAGATATATAAATAGATTAATAGATAGATATATATATAGATAAGTATACAACTTGTCCTTGCTGCTTAAAACTGAAACTGAGAAGAAACTGGAGTTTACGATGATATATAAATGTATGTAACACTTATGTTTAGGATGATGGACATGCAAACTGTACAACAAACCCAGACTGTACAGGTGAAGTACAGTATAGTACGGTACAGTAAAGTACAGTAAACCAGTTTGGACTGTGCATAGGATTGTCCACCTGAACAACACCCTTTAGTTTAGATTCTTCATAATAGAACGTTTCACTTTGATGTGATTTTAAACCGATTGACACTGATTACAAATTTTATTTTCTAACCTTGGTTTCATAGATAATGATCATAATTATCAAGTTAAGCATGATAATTATAAAGATATTTATGATGATCATTATATATATTACGATAATAATGATGATTATCAAGATAATCGTGATGATTTTAAAGATGATCATAAAGATTATCAAGATAATTGTGATGATTATAAAGATGATCATAGAGATTATCAATTTGATCAACATGATTTTCAAAATTATCATGATAATTATCAAGATGATCATGATGTTTATCTAGATTATCATCATTTTTATCAAGATAATCATGATGATTATCAAAATTATCATGTTAATAATCCAAATGATCATGATAATTTACAATATGACCATGATAATTATCTAGATAATCATGATATTTAGTAAGATGATCATGATGATTATCCAGATATTTTAATAATAATTATCAAGATGATCATGATAATTATCAAGATGATCATAATGATTATCAAGATGACCATGATGAGTATCGTAATAATTATCAAGATGATCATGATGATTATCAAGATGATCATGATGATTATCAAGACGATCATGATAATTATTAAGATGGTCATGAGGATTATCAAGATGGTCATGATGATTATCCAGATGATCATGATGATTATCCAGATAATCATGATGATTATTCAGATGATCATGATGATTATTCAGATGATCATGATGATTATCAAGATGATCATGATGATTATCAAGATGATCATGATGATTATCAAGATGATCATGATGATTATCCAGATAATCATGATGATTATTCAGATGATCATGATGATTAGATGATCATGATGATTATCAAGATGATCATGATGATTATCAAGATGATCATGATGATTATCAAGATGATCAAGATGATAAAGATTTGATGATTACTATTTTAGGGTTCAGCTGTAAAGGAATGTTTAAAGGATCTCCTGTTTCATTTGGAATGAAGGTTCATCAATGTCAGGTATTTCTTTTCATTTTTACTGTATTTTTTTAAGTAAAAATTTTCGATTTTTGGTTGTTTTATTGGTTGTATTGCCTAGTCACAATTTGCCTAGTCAAATTTTTTTTTTTTTTTAATCCGCGAATTTGTTGTCAAAAACTTCGCAAATTTTTGAAAATCATTCAGTTTTCTATAAACCAAACAGAAGTCGAGAGACACATTGAAACTGGCTCCCATGATAACTGAAGAGCTTACTATGCGGGGTAAGCCCAACTACAGGAATATGAATTACTTCTCCTATATTTTCAATGGGGAGAGGGCAGAGACCAAGAAATGACGCTGTTCCCAGAGTACACCACTGTCCTTGAGGGGGGATTTGAAACCAACAACATGCTAGAGTCATTCAACAGAACCTAGAACAGTTTGTCTGGCAACAGCCGAATGTATTTGCTATCCAAGAGCTAGTATTTAAAATATATAAATCTGATACATAACGATATTTTATCTTTTGTAGAGTAATAGGAATGTTAAAATTGCTGTACAAGATACAATTTAATTGTCACAACATTTAATTCATTAAAATTGAAATGGTTCAGTTTTTAAAAAAAATGTTGAAGTTTTGACAAAATTTGTTTGAAAAAAAGCAAAAGACAAAAAACATGCTCTTAAGTTATCTAGGCAAAATGTTACTAGACAAACTTGAACTAGGCAAAAAGTTACCCAGGCAAAATTTTACCTAGGCAAATCTGAACCAGGCAAAATGTGACAAGGCAAATTGTGACTTTGCAAAATGTTACAGCTGAGCCTTTTGTAGGCATTTTGCCGGCTTATATACTAAATGATCTGAGAGATAGATACTATTTTCCCCCCTAAATATAAACAAAAAATAAGAATGTTAACAAAGGAAGCACTAGAAAAATAACTTGTTTTTAAGAATACTCTTTTACAAACAACCCCAATTTTTCTAAAATTGTACAGTTTTGCCCAGCATGCCTGAGCCCAAAACTTAAGACAGGGTATCGTTATGAAAACTAGTTTTGAAACCTGGTTTCACGAATGGGGTCAGGCAGTTTTGTTGATATCAACATTTTTGTTAAGAATATTATTTTATTTAGTTTCTTCAAATTCTCCATTTTTTTCGAATCTCTCAAATCAAAATCTACACAAATGTTAGACCCCAAAAAGGAAACTTGGGAGTTTCGTTCAACGATACTCTTTTAAATTTCGGGCTCTGCTGTACTCAGTACACTGAACCTCTATCAATATCTACTATGTTGTTGTATAGTAATTTTCTTCTGTTATGGATAGATTGCTTATTTTTTAATAAAATTAGATTAAAAGCTAAGTCTGAATTTTAGTAATTAATTTATATATGTGTTTTATATATGTGTTAATTTAATTTTTTATTCAGGAGCCCCCTGGTCTAGAAATATTTGGGAATGCTCCACAATTTTTGGAAACAAACTTCTCCCATATTTTCCAAGATGGCGCCAAATATCAGGAAAATCAAACCAAATATTTTCTCCAGTTTTGTTCGCGTAATCTTAAATGTACATTTGTACAGTTATTCATTTTAATTCTCATTTTGAATTTGTTTTAATATTTGAGTTATCGTAGGTTCCACCTGCAATCCTAAATCTTCAAGGTCTCTCAGGTAAAATGCAGTAAAAAAAATCAACTATTTAGCTATCCTTTCTTTCTATCTATCTATTTATCTTTATATCTGTTTATATATCAATCAATCATCTATCTATTTGTATATCTATCTTTTTATCTAATTTTGTATCAAGGTATCTATCTATTTATCTCTATCTATCTATATATCTATCTGTTTATCTAATTTTGTATCCAGGTATTATCTATTGATACATATATATCCATCTATCGATATAAACCCTGTATCTATGTATCCAGGTATCCCGGAACTTCCGTTTGGGAATTCTCAAGTTCCAGGTGTAAACCTTTACTTTAAGGTAAACCTTCTTTACGCCGTAATTATTAAAGAAACTGTAGACGTAACTTCAAATGAGCCTCCAGTCTCCACTTGACATAGGTATCCCTTAAACCTGTATCTGGTAACAATGTAGAAGATATCGTCGTATTTCTAGGGGGAAAAATTGAGAGAAATCTTCATAATATCAGTTTAGTTCGTACACAGGTTTAAAGGGTACAGCATGGTGTTAATCACACATGCAACTCTATACATGGAGGGTGTCATAAACATTATCATTGACTATAAACAATTCATTAACGTTATTGGTTGTCAGTATATAAAGTTAACATTAACATTAACATTAACATTATCATTGACTATAAACAATTCATTGAAGTTTATGGTTGTCAGTATATAAAATTAACATCACCATTAACATTAAAATTAACATTAACATTGACTTTAAACAATTCATTAAAGTTTATGGTTGTCAGTATATAAAGTTAACATTAACATTAACATTAACATTGACTATAAACAATTTATTAACGTTATTGGTTGTCAGTATATAAAATTAACATTAACATTGAATTTAAACAATTGTTGTTTATATATGTTAATATCAATTAACATTAACATTTGTATGTTAAAATTAACATTAATTAAATTTATTAAATCTTCAATGGTCTCATATATAGAGCCTCTAATGCAAATTAGAAGTTACTGAATACTCTCCTCAAACTCAATTTTCAAATTTTACAAACCTGATATCTTTGCAATCTGATATTGTAGGTCTTTAAAAGCTTTAAATAAAAATTCAGTTTGATCAAATAGTCAAAGTCTGAAATATCCAAGGTTTACATCTTCATATTTAATCATAATACAAAGAAACAGGATGCAGTGTAAAGTTTCTTTTATCACGAAAAAGAAACCGAGAATGCGGAAATGAAAAAAATATGTTTTAATTAACAAAATTATTGATATTTTATTCATACTTGATCAGACAAAGCTTTCAATGGTACCGTTGTGAATCGGGTAATGCCATCTTTGCATGAGGGGTCACTTGAAATTACGCTTAAAGTCTCTTTTGAATATATTTTTCAGGTTAATCTGGCTCCAAACAATGTGAATGAGACCTTTAACACTCTCAAAATTGGGCTTGAAATTCAGGTAGAGACAGGGTTACCCACAAGAAATGAGACAAAAATGACGACCTGAAAGTCTTTATATATGGCGATCCTAAAGTTGAATTTTGTTTCTAACATAGTTTTAATTGTTTAATTTGACAAATATAGAAAGAGGATTAGAGCTATATAGTTAACAATGAATGCCAAAAAAAATACTTAATAAATTCCATAGGGTCGTCTACAGACTCTCGTCTTTTTCGGGTAACGCTGAATACTTTTAGTATCAATAGAGTTTTGATGACAACATAATCCATCCAAAAGTGTTTAACTTAACTTAAATGTGATATTACAGCTTGTTAGATATGAATTAACATGATTTTTTATTATACTTTTTATGAATTGTGTTTACGTAACGAGTATAAATATTTTTCTGAAAATGATGATCATTTTTCCTACAATATTCTTAAAAGATGACTTCAACCAAAGTTTGACTAAACTGTAGTCATGATTCCAAATAAAAAATTTGTTTTTAAATCAAACAAACTAGATTTACTAAATATACCCGAGTCATTTTAATTCATATTTTATTTAAGTTATTTTTTTATATTTTACTAAATTTTTAGGCCTGTGTAAACCATAGCGCTATGGGCTTAAACGCAAATGTGCGTAGCAGCAAAGCACTAGGCATGCATTTGTCATAAAAAATTTAATCTTTTGTTGTTATTTTTAACTAAATTAACTCAACTTAATTGTGAAGATTAACTCTTGATCTCGGGAAAGTGAGAAACTTAGAAACTAAGAATTTAATTAGGTTTATGTTTGTTCAACACTTAGCACTAAATTACTTTTCAAAACTTTGGAAAACTCTTGAAAACAAATAACAAATGCGGGATTCATCAAAAAGAGCAACCCCTCCCNAATAATACTATATTTGTCTAATTAAATGACAGTTTATGGTAGTAATCAGAAAACAAAGGAATTATTGATGTGTTTTTTATAAAGATGTTCCTTACAGTTTCTAATTTGTATTTCATTTAACTAATTGTTAATGCACAATGAATGTATATTTAGTTGAGATTTCAATATGTATACTTTGTTTCAACAAAAACGATCAAACAAAATTATCAAACATGATATTTTCAATTGGCTCATAATTAATTTTCTTTTGTGTTTTATTTTAAGCTGAACCATCATACATTATTATTTTGTACTTTGTGTTTGAAAATAAATATAACTATAGTAAAACTCTCTTTAAAAAATCATCCGTTAAAAGAAACCGAGTTTTTTCACATAATCTGATTTCCTAATCCCCTGCTCTTTCAACAAGTAAATAAGTTCATTACTTCTTTAACAGTGGGAAAATTCTGTGTTGGGTATGATCTCGATATCCACTGTGGACACTTTTAATTTTAGGATCTATAAAAAAATAACTGTAACTCTCATATCTTCATTTTATCAATTCCTTCACTGATCAAAGCTCCCTTCAACTAAATATTAAATTAATCCGCAGATTAATAAAAGCTTGATTTTGATATCCTTAAGACAAAAATTCCAAGCTTAAAGTGTATATTTTCTCTTCTCCCTGGTTGTAATTTGTGTTGGTTTTAAACCCTCAATGTTTTGAAAAAAGTATAAAACAATCTGATATGTTTATCGAAATTGTATTCTTTGTAAGTTTGCTTTAACATACAGAGCAACCAGATAGCAGTATTCGAGTGTATCTATATGTTGTTCCAGAGCAAATGTTTGATTAGTAACTTATCAAATCACTTATTAAGTTAGCAATTGCTGTGTCTCATGCTCTTTGGACTACCTAGGTCTTAACATTAGTTAAAAAGTCGTCTTTTCTTCCTTTGAATTTACACATTAGATAGAAATGACAGCTCATAAATTTAAATATAAGCCCAAAAAATCCATATTGAATTTAATTTTTAAAACAATTCAAATGCAAAAACACTTAAAGAAATTGTTTAGATCTTTTAAAATCTCTAAAGCCCATATCAAGCATCTCTTATAATAGCAAACATATTTCAACAAAATGAATTAGGAAAATTATGTTATTCTGGGGCGTATACAGGATTTATCCATGTAGGGCTTAATCTTTCTTCAATCCATTTCAAGAATATGCACCTTTTGACTATTGAGGGGTCTAAACGACCCAAGGAACCGTATATATTACATCAGACCCCCCTCCATCCTATACAGCCCTGATGTTATTGATAGCGCTGCGGCTAGACTACTCTAAAACTATGACAATATGCATGATGCCTACAGATGGAGGAGAAGTTTGTATCTTAAATAAACCTCTGTTCGATGATGCCATCATTCCTGTTCCTCATTGCATTCAAAAATATCCAGCTCAGGTATTAAGTTAAAATCAGTTAAATCAGTTGGATCGGTTTACATCAGATCGACTACATCAGTTTAAATCAGTTCAAATTAATTATATCAGTTGGATTAGTTTTAATCAGTTAAATTGTTGGATATCTTGGTAAAAATGGTTGATATCTTTTGTACAGCCGGTTATTTGATATCCATTGTACAGCCGGTTATTTGATATCCATTGTACAGCCGGTTATTTGATATCCAATATCCATATATTTGATATCCATGCCATGCTAATTTTCTTTTTTTAAACGAACCGTTGGATTTCCAATGATATTGTGCATATAATGACTGAAATAATAAATATGTTATGTGTCGAGTTATGACCAATGTTACCTAATTTTGCATAACTTTGCATATTTTTTTTTTTCTTGTAAAACTATTTATTCGAAATATCTAATCAAATTTAAGCTACACCATTTACATACAGGGTTAACCACAAAGAATGAGACTTCAGAGACGATTGTACGAAATTTACACTGTCTGTTTCCTTACATTCACGATTCCCTGCAACTGTAAACTTGTTTCTTTCTTTTGCAAATCTTTATATAAGCCATTCGAATACTATAGATAATGCAAAATGCTTAATTTAACCTTTGGATCGTTACAATTTAAGAGTTTTCGGTCGTCTTTGCAGTCTCATTCTTTGTGGGTAACCCTGTACTTATGTATTTCTTTTATGTGTGAATAGATCTTTATAATAAAAATAATAATTTTAATAAACTTTTGTTTAGCCGATTGTGGGAGATCCTTGCAATGTAAACGATCTTTTTGCTTGCGGGGAGCATCAAACCTGTACACAAAGTACCACAGAGGATCCTGAAGGTATATACATATATTAAACATTAAAATTCAGATCAAATTCCAAACCAATGAATTGGGTGGTTTTGTTAAAATAAAAATTGTAAATTAATCATAGGAACGCATTAATTTCTTCTTAAATTTATATTTGGTGTAGGAGTTTGTGAATGTTTGTCAGAATTTGAATTAAATGCTGATAAAAGCTGCGGTTCAAGAACATCAACGCCTATCCCTCAAACCCTCAATAGCAACATCGAGTTCCAGCCTCACATCGCGGAAAATGCGTCTAGTCATACTGCCGTTGCGGCTGGAGTGGTGTCAGTTCTCATCATTATTGCACTTATCGCAATTGCCGCGTTTTTTATTAATCGTCATAGACTGATTCCCCGGCTACGCGCAAAGCTGAAGAATACCCCGTATGAGGATATTGTGGTTAATAGTTCTAGTCGTCTTCCATGAAAATCCCCCAATCATTCTACCTGAGCTGAAAACATTAGAATTGGATACCTTTAACTAATCCCAATCGCTTAATCTGAATATCCAATGCGGACACTTTTAATTTCCTTTTTATTCAATTTGCGCTCTTTACCTCGGCTTTTCTGATTGGCTGTTATGTTTCGATTGGTTGTGTATCTAACTCAAGTTGAGTTATTAACACTTTTGTTGATACAAACATAAGATTAAAATAATCTTAAAATTAACAAAAAGAGAAGATCAAGCATGGATCTTAATATCCACAATTCAAAAGTTTTCAACTCTGATCATATATAATTTTTTACCTCTTCATCTCATATTTTTCACATTTTTTTCAGAAATCTCTTTGACTTGCAGACCCACTTGTTTTGCAAATTAATGTCCAGTGTTATTGTTTGCAAGATTTGCATATATATATTTGCAATTTTAGAAGATATGTTAATGGTCTTTAAAGTTTGTAAATATTTGTAGAAATTTGTAACAAAAAAATTGTCTTTCACATATCTTGGCGATTTTTCTGCTTTCAAGTATAATTTAAATTCATGTAAATTGATAAAATTGTTATGAATAAATAAGTTAATTTTTAATACCAACTATTATTTTCGAAACAATTGGAAAACATTATTTAAAGAGACTGTAAAGGAAAAATGAAAAGGGGTATAGGCTGAAACCTAAGCAAATTGTAGGAGTTGATCGAGACCCATAAGAGTTCTATCTGATTTTCCTGTCTCGAGAAATTGATATAAAATTGTGTCAAATTTACACGAAAATCTAAACATATAAAATTTTGTTTAAAAATAATAGTTTAAACAGATGATATTCAGCAAATACGCAAACAATCTGAAAACGATTATATCCCACAACCAATCTGAAAACGACGATATCCCAGAGAGTCTAAGAAACTTAGGTTTGCTCCTATTATAATATTTGAATTTAATAGTATTTCATTTTGAATAGATATAATAGATATATTATTTATATGTCTGTATCACGTGACCAAAACTTTCACCAATGGCAGTGCAGTATACTGTTCATGTGATACAGACGTAGACATGTGACAATAATACTGCACTGCCATTGGTGGGAGTTTTGGTCACGTGATACGGACGTAAAAAAACATTTTAAAGTATATCCTGATTTAAAGGTTGGACTTGCAAGCTCTTTAGCAAGAAATGTTTAAGAATTTTGCCAATATATTCTTTTAAACTAAAGCTAACAATAAGTAGTTTACAGTGCCATAATAGTACATGTATAGGGCTACAGAAAAGCATAAGTGAGTGAGTAAGAGCGGTAAAATTCAAGCCCATACCGTTGCGACACTTCAAAGTCGACCCTGTCTTAAACATGTATGCGACTTTATAAGTAGACTAAATCGATGTATACCAGAGAATAATGGAACTTAAAAATCGTTTTTGATTTCCGATAGTCCATAAAATGACAAAAAGTGGATAAGATAGAATATAAGATATAGTTTATTGCTAAAAATACACATACAAGTTACAGGCACAAAAACTGCAACTATTTTTATATTGTTTACTATATTTATGTAATTCTAGCAATTATGTGGAGATTAGCTATTTGCTGTTTTGGGTATTATCCCCACCTAGTTAATAAAACGTTTACACTATGATGAATATTACTAGGTTTTGAAAGTTTCCAATAAGTCAGGGATTACTAGTTAAATTTAGAGAGACCAAGGTGCAGCATAACAAAATATTTGATTTTTCAGTTTTAAGTTTAGTACGTTTAACAGGATAATATTAAGTTTCAGATGTTTACAGTTTTAACTGGGGTGCTTCAAAACTTGTGTTTACCGCCCACACAGAGCAAAGACGATATATAAGTCATCAGTTGATGCCCATGTTTATTGGGACACCCTGTATATGCTAAAGATTTATGTAATTTCTAACGGGATTTTTCCAAACCGTGCTCTGAGGTCAAAAATGCTGAGTAAAATAACACTGATCCTTTATCTCAATATCCACTGTGAGTTAGTCTGTTCAGGTTGAGGGAGGGGGTGCAGGGACGCCGTGAGCCCTGCAAAATGATCTCCGAGTCTGCGTTTTCGCAGATGAGTATTTTTAAAATGATCTGGCGCCAGGGGCGGACATAAGGATTCTGTAGGGGGGGGTAAATATTTTTAATATGGCGCGCGAAGCGCGCCGAATTTTTTTTATCCCCCCCTAGAAATTTTTTTACCCCCCCCTAGAAAAATATCATGATGTATATCAAATTATTGGTTTTAATTGGGACCCCAGGATTCTAGGGGGGGGGGATTTACCCCCAGGATTCTAGGGGGGGTATTTACCCCCAGGATTCTAGAGGGGGGGTAAATAACCCCAATAACCCCCCTTATGTCCGCCACTGTCTGGCGCTAACCCTAATCTTTATAGAATAGATATTATAGAAGTAATAAATAATATTTTTAAATAATTATGCAATTTAATATCCAAAAAGCATTACATAAAAACATTAAATATTAAATATTTATACATTACGTCTATAATATCTATTCGGAAGAGTAAAAATGACAACACATTATTTTAGTTACTCTCCTGCGAATCCAGAGGCATGGAGACCATAACCCCCTCCCTAACTGCTTAATCCAGGGACAAAAACAACAAAGATGACATTCATACACCATTTTTCTATTTCCCTCTGAGGTATTTTTGAATTTGAAATTTTATATTTTTGTTCTGCACAACATTTACAAATCGCTTCAGTTTGCTGAAGTTATTGATTGTCATAAAAAGAAACTTTTATAGTCTCTGCTATTTACTAACCTTTAAAGGGATTATTAGACTTTAAAGTTAGTTTTATATAAATTAATGGCACACCATGCATGACGTTTCAGGGATAAGACCTAAAAATGTCCAAAATTCGAAATGGTGGGGGATCGATAAAAATGTCGAAATATCAATCCTTGAAATTTCGTAAGTAGTCTCTGAATCCTTGCTATAAGTCAACCCTTATAAATCAGACTTTGTCTAAAATATAGAATGCTAAGTGTTCTTTATATGTCGTCTTCTGGAGTTTTTATATGTCGTCTTCTGGAATTTTTATCTCTCCTCGAGGTAGGCTGGATCTTGCTTTAGAATTGAGACTAAGACACTATAACATATTTTTTGTTGGTAAAATATGCCAAAATAGGAAATATTTACTATGTCATCTAGCCCAAAAAAATCGTATGCAGTAACATTTGGTTTAACTATCGGGATATGACACTTATAGAGTTAGTTATTTTCTGTCAAAGTGAATAAATACTAAAGTGGAACAGACTAAGGCAACGATGACAGGATAGGCCATAATGTTTTATTTGGTTTGGAAATAATTGCATGAAAAGATTACTTTAGGAAAGTAACGACTAGAAAAAATGGACTAAATACCCATTGAAATGTCGTCTTTAGTTAGAACTTAAAACTCAGAACAACCTTTCTTTTCATTATTAAAAATCATTAACTTTTGTATGTTTGTGTGTATTTTTATGTAAATATACTATATAGTCGCTTAATCAACTCATTGATTTTGCCTGGCACTTCTAATTCTATAGGAATTTATCTTTAAAACTGCTTAGTTTTGTTCTTTGATATCTCACTCTATTCCGAAATATGTTTGTAAATTTTTCTAACACGTCTATTTTAATATCCAGAAGCGTATTCAGGGGGGCTAAGGGGGCTCAACCACCTCCTGGATCAGTGAAATATATGCTTTTTTGGGGGTTTGGGCCTCCCCTCTTGAACGGAAAAGAAATGTAAGCCCTTCCTGGGAAAAAACCTGAATACGCCATCTCTTAATATCTTTAAAACTATAGTCTTAGTTCTCAACCACTCTAAAATCTTTCAAAATACAAAAGGGAAGAGCAAGTGATATATTTCGAAGATCTACATTTTTTAGTATCACAAACTGTGCATTCGATCCTTGTTTTACAGATTATGCATGCAGGCATTATTGTGCATGTCTGAAATTTTGTTGTGTAGTAAAATGACTAAACTTCACTTCAGAAATCTTAATTTACGCTAATATATATTTAAGTTAAATACAAATTTTAAGTCTGTGTTTGTAAACAAAGGGAGTCCAGTTTCTGTTGTATACTGTGCACTCCGTACAGAGCAATTTATATATATATATATTTATATATATATATATATAGAAATTATTTTTAAATACTTGGGACATAAAATGTCGTCATCCAACTATGAGTTTGGACCACTTTAGTATTTAATCATTTTGATTTCTGCAAGGTCAACGATTAATTTCTTTATTAAATTCATGGACATTTTTTTAAGTTTTGTTGTTTGAACGAAATTGTACTTTTAGATTTCTCAAAATTTAATTGCCTTTTGACCTTTAGTGATCTTCATTTTTAAATAGATAAAATAGATAAAATAGATAAAATAGATAAAATAGATAAAATAAATAAAGTAGATGAAATAGATAAAATAGATAAAATAGATAAAATAGATAAAATAGATAAAATAGATAAAACAGATAGTATAGATAAAATAGATAAAATAATGGTATAGATAAAATAGATAAAATAGATAAAATAGATAGTATAGATAAAATAAATAAAATAAATAAAATAGATAGTATAGATAAAATAGATAATGTAGATAAAATAGATAAAATAAATAAAATAGCTAAAATAGACAAAATAGATGAAATAAATAAAATAGATAAATTGCAGGTAATATAGAAGTCTAGAGTGAAGCACTGTCCCTCTTCCCTCCCCCATGTATATATTTTCTAAATCTATTTAACGATAAAGTGTGTAAAATGTACATCACAAAGGTCGCCGACACAAAAGTTTTACTTAATAACTTATCAAGAACGTCTAATAAGTTGTAATTTGAACAAAATTCTTCATATTTTAAGAATTACTACAGTGATAATAAGAAAACTCTGGAAAAGAAAGACGACTTTTAGACTCAAATTATGACTCTAAAATCCAATAAACATGATACACAGCCATTATGGAGTGTAAACAGACCCATTTTACTTAATTAGGAATTTAATGAGTTTGTAGTAAAACTATTTGCTTTGTGAAAAACTCAAATGCACTCAAGTATTAAAATAATGTCGTCTTCCTATTCCATTGTTTTCTGGCTTTCACTGTACGACAGATAAATATTTTATGATTTTGCCTTTTTAGAATTTTAGAATTAGGTTCAGGAATAAAATTCTCAGAAGACGACCTGTTATTCTCTACTTCTTAAGAAATTTCGACATATTTCATATTTATTTCATTTTCATAATTTTATTCAACAGGAGATAATACAAATAAAAAATCACAATTTCCTATGTAGTTTGGACCCGCCTAACCATAGTAGTTTGATTTAATTGGTTGGCCCAGTATAAGCAAATAAGAATTGTACATAGATAAATGTGTGTACACTTACAGTGGACATTTAAAACATAATAATGTTGACAACTCAGGAAAAAAGGTGAAGAGGTGCTGAGGAAGTACAGGCAAAGGAAGGGTACTCAGCGGAATAGTATGGAACAGAGGGTAACATATTTTTTTAAAATTATGTTTATGAACTATAGGGGAATTATAGTAAAGATTAAGTTTATCCACGTATAATCC